ATTGCAGGATTTCTGAGCAAAGGAAAAGGGGAAGGCGATTTATACACATATCGCATTCGTTTTCATGCATATATATGTACGTATGTATGTCTATATGTGTATGCGTACTTGTATTAGTGCATGAATGTTTATACCCATGTATATATGTATATGTTCTTGTATGTATGAATGTATTCTTGTGTTTATATATACATTCATGAATGTATATATATGTATATCATTTATGTAATATATGTATTGATGTATGTGTATGTAGGTGTAGGTGTTTATATACATATACATGCAGATGTATATTTATGTATGTAGGCCTATTTATACCTGTTCTTCGATTTAAAAAAAATTGCAACCCATCTAAGAACATCCTATCGCAAAAAAAGAAAAAAATAAATAAATATTTCTGAAAATCATTGAAAAAAAAACATAAGATAGACCTATATGTAAAGGTTATATTAAAGAAAAAAATTGGAGTAAGCCCAAAAAAGGCGTAAGGTAAGCAGGCCACATTTAGGGAATCAATATTTAATTTTCTAAAAAATCGACATTAAAACCAACAAGAGGATTGTGCAGATTGAGATAAAAGTGATACTTGATATTCGCAAATACACTTGCGTGGGGAGGGGGGGATGGCAGACATTAGAATCACGTTCATAAGCTTTGTTAGTCATGAAGTTAGTCATGAGTTTGTTTGTGAGCGACATGTGAGAAGAATATTAATGATGGTAAGGGTAAAACAATAAAATCAACAACAGTGATAATGTTAGTAATGATAAAAAAAGCTTAAACGTAAGAGATATTGATATTTCCCTAGAAAAAAAATGTTTTTATTTACATTAGATATGATAAGAAGTCCTTTCTTTTTGCAGTAGAATCAGAAAGATCACTTCACTCCCAGTATTCTGTTAGGTTACTCTCGGTACTTCCTGTCCAGCTCCTGATTGAGAATTGCTCATTAGCATAAGAAATACATAAGCACTGTACTCGAACAGCTTTTCAGATGAGCGAATTAATGAAGCGCCTTCGATGTAAAAGGTCGTGCGATCCCTCTCTCTCTCCTCTCTCTCTCTCTCTCTCTCTCTCTCGCTCTTACTCTCTCTCTCGCTCGCTCTCTCTCCCTCTCCCTCTCCCCCTCCCCCTCCCCCTCTCCTCCTCTCCCTCCCCCCCTCCCTCCCTCTCCCCCCCCTCTCTCTCTCTAGAGAGAGAGAGAGAGCAGAGAGAGAGAGAAAGAGAGAAGGAGAGAGAGAGGGACATATGTATCCATACATACATATATACACACATTCATTTATACATACATAAACACATAAATTCCTTTATACATAACTACCTGCCTATTGTATAACAACCAGACAAACAAGACTCAACTGTAAAAAAAAAAAAACATAACAAACACAATAATGATATTACTTTTAACAAAAGAAAGACACAAACGACCACTAAACTATCCGTCAGTTATCAAAATCACAAGTTTCATCTCGGGAACAATCTGACCAACCTAATCAGCAACCAGGCTTTCGTAGCAGATTGGCTAATCACAATATATACACACACTGCGTATTCTTGTTGGTAATACTGTCGCTATCCGCTGTTCCGTTTTTGACCATGTTCATTTGTGTGTGTGTTTGTTGTGTGTGTGTTGTGTGTGTGTGAGAGAGAGAGAGAGTAAGTGAATCCATGTGTATGTATATATGTGTATACCTGTTTTATTTACTGAGAACCATGCACGTAAACAAAGTAATAATTCTTCATTTATTTAACTAACATTAAGACCACATGTATTTAAACTTCCGAAAAAAACAACAACATGATATGAACACATGTTACCCCAGAGAACATGATATACCAAATGACATGATTTCTAAGCTTACCTGTGTCTACATATCCCCCCCCCCCCCTTCGTGTCCTTTGTGAATTCAGACACACAACTCTTGCATATATTTCGTGTCAATTGACATTCAGAACTTTATGCGTGTTTATGTGTATGCCATAGATGCTTGACAGAGATTGATCATTTCCTAAGAGCTCTCACGATGCGAGGACAGACGCTCCATTATTGTTATCATTATTATTATTTTTTAAATCTTTATCATCATTTTTATTATTATCATTATTATTGTTATTATTATTGTTGTTGTTGTTATTATTACTATTATTATTATTATATTTTCGGTAAGAAGAGATAGACAGATAGACAGACACATAGACAAAGATAAAGAAAAGGGAGAGAGAGGGAGCGAGAGAAGAGAGAAGAAAAGGAGAGGAAAAAAGAAAAAATCCGAAGAAAGAAAGAAAAATATAAAAGTAAGAGAGAAAGAAAAGGAGATGTAGAAGGAGAAAGAAGAATGTGGATAGAAAGAGAAGACAGAGAGAGAGAGATAAACAAGAGGAGGGAAGAAAGAGAAGAGAGAGAGAGAAGAATGATAGATAGATAGAGAGACAGAGAGATGATGATGAATAGAAGAGAGAGAGAAAAAAGAGGAGGGATAGAGAGAGAGAGATAGAGATGAAGAGGGATAGAAAGAGAAGACAGAGAGAGAGATGAGAAGGGACAGAGAGAAGAAGAAAAGAGACGAGGAAACAGAGGACAAGTCTCGGTCTTGAACTCGTGACCTTTATCGTTCAACAAACACGGTAATGCAAGATCTACTTGACCTTTCGTGAACTGATGCTCTGAGCTGAAGAAAAAAGAAATGGCACAGTTTTATAAATAGATAAACATGTATTGTGCTGTGTATGTATGTGTGTATGTCGATGGGGGGGGGGGGGGATGGGTTGTTGGGTGTGTGTGGGTGTGGGTGAGTGTGTGTTTGGGGGGGGGGGGGGCGTGTGCGTGTGGGTGAGTGTGGGTTGCGTGTGGGGTGAGTGTGTGCGGGGCGTGTGGGTGTAGGGGGTGAAGGAGAAAAGGAGAGCTAGAGAAAGAGAGAGAGAGCGATGGAGGGGATACGGGGAGAGAGAATGAGAATTATGAATTTTATCAAATATTATCGAAATAAAATCAGAGAGAGAGAGAGAGGAGTTTGAATTAGACTACTTTAGCCTAATTGAGAATTATAAGTCCTTAGCAAATATCAAAATAAAATCAGAGAGAGGGAGAGAGAGAGAGAGAGAGAGAGAGAGGAGTTTGAATTGGACTACTTTAACCTAATTGAGAATTATAAGTCACACACCTAAAGTCACACACCTAAACCTTTCCCTCAAATAGTAAAAATAGATAAGCAAATAAACACGTTGAAGAAATGTATTTTATCTTCACTTTAGCAGAAAATCACATCGTTACGAATCGTTAAAAAAGTTTAAAAGTTACTTTATTATAGAAACCAAATTCCATATATGAAGAAGAGTAGAATCAGGTCTTTAGGTTTTCCTCATGGCAGACAAAAGAGCATCGCCAGGCGGGATGTGGTGAAGCTGATAAGAATTTAAAAAAAAAGGAAAAGAAAATGACATTATTACAAAATAACATGTTCCGTCCTTCCGCGACAAAGAGGGAATGAGAAAAGTATAACCTCGCCCGTTTTGCTTAACACGAAAGCCGTTTTATTGCTCTCCACTTGACAAACAAAACCGCATCGCCCGAAACGAACTGAAACTCACACCGGAATAGAAATAGATAGTAATAATGCAAATAAATAAATAAAATAGATAAATAAATAAATAAAAAGCTGAATAAATAAATAAAATAGATAAATCAATAAATAAGAAGATGAATAAATAAATAAAATGACAGGACGAAGACAAAGACCTTCCGCGCATAGAGATTAATGAAGATTAATGGAATTAATTTCTCAGATTGGAATGAAAAAACAAAAAAACAAAACAGAATTCTATCCTTCCGTAACCCAGAGTGAATTTAAAATTAAAATATTAAGTATGGCGTCCCACTTATACCGTTTTCTTCCTCTCCGCATGACAAACAAAAGCGCATCGCCATAACTGAATAAATAATAAAAAAACACGAAAGATGAATGAGAAAAGTATAACTCGTTTGAAAAATAATACATAAAAATCATCCTTCTATAACTAATAGTAATTAAGAAAAGCTACAACGTAACTCCCACTGACGAACAGATTGGAATTAAAGAAAAATAAATAAATAAAAACAAATAATAAAAGTATGAAGCAACTCATTTGAAAAAAGAAAATCTATCATTCTCTAACAAACAATAATTAAGAAAAGGTACAAAGCGACTCCTTTTTGCCTCCCACTGACACCATTTTCTCCCTCTCCACATGACAAACCAAAAGCTAAATCGCCCAGAGAGAAAAAAAAATAAAAAGCGATACCCACCGGAGAACAAAAGCCAATAGCTGATCATTCTCCCGGCGCCTCCGGTGCTGTTATCTTCCCGCGCGCTTAAGACCTAAAAGGAAATTAGTTTTTTTTTTTTTTTTTTTTTTTCGAATTTATCACGTGTGGCTTTTAGACTCGATCGCCGGCCGATGATCAGGGCGCTACGGGGTGTGCTTGGGTAGGTGGGTAGGGGTGGGTAGGCCTATGTCATTACTCGCAGGTGGAATTTAGGTTCCAGGTGGGTAAGCGGATTAGGAAAAAAGGTTCGGAGAGTTGGAGATTGGTGAGGATTAGGACAGGGTGACTATGCCCATGATGGTACATGCATACAGGCACACGCACACGCGCGTACCCACGTATCTCTTTGTGTGTGTGTGAGAGAGAGAGAGAGAGAGAGAGAGACCGACAGAGACAGAGAAAGAGGGGGGGGGAGAGTTGTATACATATAGGACTATCGATAAACTTATAACATTTTGGAATGAAATGGTCGCTAAAACTGATCCGTGGAGAAATCCTTAACTAATTACACATCTAATACGAATAATACGATGGGTTTTCCACACACACACACACGCACACACACACACACACACACACACACACACACACACACACACACACACACACACACACACACACACACACACACACACACACAGTAAACTCAACCCTTTATCCCATGCTAACAAATCCTCTTCATTTTTTCTTCCAGCGGACTCGAACAGGACGGTCGCGGAGTCCAGCCGGTGTACCTGAGCTGCTCCTCGGGCCGAGTGGAGTGGCAGTATCCCCGCGCAGGGCTCAGGGTCATCCTCAGGTCCCCCCACAAGGACCGGGACTTCCAAGCGTGCATCAAGGGTGACCCCAAGTTCGAAGGCGCCAGGATCTATCTCGAGGGATACCGCTCTCTCCTGCCGCTGTTCGCCCTCGACGACGGCCGCCCGCAGGAGCTGGTCCGCTGCTTCACGAGCTACAAGGGCCAGGCGGCGCTGTACGTCGAGGCCGAGCCCAGCACCGACGACCTGAAGAAGGAGGTCGCTGCCTTCGACTATGATCTGCAGACGCTCGCCAAGGGGAAGATTTACGACCCGCTCGAAGGTGAGTCTTAGGGGAAGGGGAGGAGGGGGAGGAGGAGGGGGAAGGGGAAGGGAAGGAGGAGGGGGAAAGGGAGGAGGAGGAGGGGGAAAGGGAAGGGGAGGAGAAGGAGGAGGAGGAGGAGGGGGAAAGGGAAGGAGGAGGAGGGGGAAAGGGAGAAGGGGAGGGAGAGGGGGAAGGGAGAAGGGGAGGAGGGGGAGGGAGAGGGGGAAAGGGAAGGAGAAGAGGAAATACGAGAGGAAGAAGAGGGGAAGAGAGGAAAAGAAAAAGAAAGAAAACAAAAGAGAGAAAGAGAAAACTGGAAAGGAAGAATGAATAGATAGGGAGAGAACTTGGGGGGGGGGGGGGTATGAAGGAAAAGAAGAGGAGATGAAGAAGAGATTAGGAAACGACATGAGGAATGAGGAAGTGGGAGAAAAAAAATAACGAGGGAAGAAGGGTGTGGTCGGAAATGCAAATATTACATTAAGTGTTCTTATTAAACTGCATCCGAAAGAAAGATAACAATAATGAAATAAAGACTTAAGACAAAAAGGTTTATCATAACCAGGCCAAGTACTGTAGATCTAGAATGATAGCCAGATGCAATAATAATAATAATAATAATAAAGCAGATATTATAATAGAATTAGATAAATAGATAAAATAATGACTATATAGTGGGCAACACTCGAGAGAGAGAGGGGGGGAGGGAGAGGGAGAGGGAGAGGGAGAGAGAAAGAAAAAGAGAAACAAGCAGAGAGAGAGAGGGAGGGAGGGAGAGGGAGAGGGAGAGAGAAAGAAAAAGAGAAAGAAGCAGAGAGAGAGAGAGAGAGAGAGAGAGAAGAGGGTAGGAGGGAGGAAGGAAGCTGAACGAGAAGAGAAAGAAAGCATATATATACAAACATATAAACCAAAAAGAAGAAGGAAGAAGAAGAAGAAGTAGAGGAAGATGATGATGATGAAAAGAAGAGGAAGAAGAAGAAGATAATGATGAAAAGAAGAAGAAAAAGATGAAGAAGAAGAAAAGAAGAAAAAAGAAAGAAAGAAGAAGAAGCAAAACATATCAATCCCATATCTCTCTTGCCGAAGTTACCCCTCCCCCCTTCCCCCTACCCCCCCAATACCCTTCTCCAACACCCGAGACCCACGACCCTACCACAGACCTCACTCCCCTCCCCCCACCACCACCCCTCCTTTCTCCACTCGGGATGCCCCTGTGCCTTCTCGCCTGATGCCCCTCGATCTTCCCATCTGGCTATCGCATCATTTTATAGAGAGCAGCTCGTGCCTCGTGCCCGGATCTCGCTCTACGCCCTGCCCACGCGTCCCCCTTCACCGCCCCCGCGCGCTCGTTCGCTACCCCCTTCACCGCCCATCATCGCTTCAGGTCTTCTTCGCTTGACACGCCATTTTTATCATGGCTTTTTCGTGTTGTTGTTGTTTTTTTCTTTTTCTATATTATCGTGGTGTTTCTTTCTGTTTTTTTTTTTTTTTTTTTTTTTTTGTGTGTGTGTGTGTGTTTTTCTGTTGTTGTTGTTTTTTCGTTTGTCTTTGTTTTTGTTCGTCTAATAGTTGTGAAGATGTTTTAGGTATTATATTTATTATTGTTGTAAGTTTTTTTTATTATTATTTGTAGATCATTTTAGGGGGAAAAATATTTACAATAAAAAAAAATATAAATAAATAAATAAATAAATAAAGAGTGCGGCGAGGAAACGGCAGAGAAAAAAATCTTGCTATATGTAAAATATTTTTTTTTTTTTTCTATTGTGTGTTTTTCTCCTTCATCGCACAGTAGGAATCTTCACTTTTATCTGTCGGATCTCATTCAAATATTGATAATATTTTTTTTTTCATAATGGATGGGTTTATAACAAGAGATCTAGATATAGTGTTATGACGAATGGATGTTCATAGTATGTATATGTATATATATATATATATAATGTGGTGTGTGTGTGTGTGTGTTTGTGTTGTGTGCACGTGTTCATCTACGTGTCAAGTAGAGTGCCTGTGTGGCCGCCGGAGCACGCCTATGATTTCGTCGATGGGTCTGGGGTGACTGATACCACTGCGTAGCACTCGCTCAAGGTTTATTCAGTAGCGGTCAAACCTGTTAAATAATACATCGATTGTACAAATGCACACAATATACAAAGCCACTAAATATCAGCACACGTCAGACATTAGATTATATAATAAGAACTTCCTACAAATATTGGATACATACGC